TTTAGTAGTGGATATTGTAATGACCTAGGTCATTTTTTTTTTAAATTAAAGAATTCTTTTGTATAGAGCATTCCTGTAGCGACCCAAGTCATTTATGACTTGCTGGCACTGACTGTTCGGTGCTGGTGTTCGTTTGGTTTTAGGCCGTTTTGTTTTGGAGATTTTTATAACTTGAAAAGTTGACTTTGGTCAACCTTCTTGGAAGTCGTGCTCAGATGAAAATTCTGACGGCTAGGTTAGCTTCGGAAGATCGATTTTGGTCTAGAACGACCCTTTGTTCAATTCCCGAGATTTTAGATAGCAGTTGTGGAATCTGGTTCAAAACGATACTGGATGTGGGACCCACTTTTCGTCGAAGCGAGCTCCAAATGGAAATTCCGCCTTCACCGTTGAGTCCGAAATATCATTTCCAATCAGATTCCATATAAGGTTTGTATTTTTCCGACTCCGAACGAGTCCGAAACATCGAAACTTAAGTTTGAAGGGTTGTAGAATTTTGACGCGGCGGTGACGTGGCAGAGCCACGTGACGACACGTGGCAGAGGAGTGAAATCTGGAAATTTCCAGAATTTAAGACGAAATTCGTCCATTTTTTTTCCTTCAACTTCAACTTGAAATTGCTCCTTCATTTTTAGTCCAAATTAAGTGATTCAAAAGGCAAACTTCAAGAGAATTTCGAGGGGAATCTAGCGGTGGTCTCAGAAACGCGAGGGGAGGCTTCATTTGAGGTAAGAAATCGATTTTTAGCCACTGCCAGGGTGATTTCCGGATGGTTTTGTTGTTGAATTTTGAAATGTGAGTTCTTGATCATCGTAAGTCCGTTTTGAGTCATTCTTGAGGCTAACTTGTAGAGTTTTTCGCAAGGATCGTCGTGGTATAATCTGTTTGGGTTGAAAGGGCCTCGTTTTTCCGGAAATTGGTGAACTAGGGGCTGCTACTTTTAATTGTTGTGGCTGATTTGCGGTGTTTTAAGCATCTGTTTGTGCTATAATTTTGGGGTATTAGTTTAGTAAGGTATTTGGGACGTTTCCACGGATTCGATTTCGAGATTCTAATTGTGGGCCCCACAATTCCGTTTTAGACCCGATTTTGGGTCCGTCTCCGAAAAATATAATTTTAGTGTCAATATATTCGTAATGACGAGGTGATTAACCTTTTGTTAGTGGGGAAGCATTTGGAGACCGTTCGGAGAGGAAAAGATCCAGTACCGTGAGTTGGAGCACGCGTGATCGGCTTTCAGGTAGGCTATGGTTTTCTCTCGTGAGATTGAGCATGTTTAGGCATTTGTTTATTGATTTGCTTGAGTATGGAGGGATTCGGGTGTCGAGCATGCTAAATTTCTATAATTCCTGCCTTAGACCTTATTTCGGGAAAGTGTTTGATTATGACAGCATGTCTCTTGATATTATTGAATATCCATATCTTGTGGTGTATATGATAATATTGAATTGAAGTATGTTTGGCCTTAGTCTAGGCTTAGACTAGTGTTGCCATAGACTTGCGAGATTTCGGATGTCGTTGGACAGTAGAACTTTTTCCGACGTCGTTTCGGACGGTCAGCTCCTTGTAGACTGATATAGCAGACTTGAGTCTGAAAATCGGTAACTCAGCTTATGACCTTGTATCCATAATGCCCTGCTTTTCTATTAGCTACAGTACCCGGTTAGAGTCCGTGGTCCAGCTTACCTGTGATCTGGTTTTAGCTACAGTACCCGGTTAGAGTCCGTGGTCCAGCTTACTTATGTCCAGGCTTAGCTACAGTACCCGGTTAGAGTCCGTGGTCCAGCTTACCTGTGATCTGGTTTTGGCTACAGTACCCGGTTCGAGTCCGCGGTCCAGCCCACCCGTGCCCGACCTTTGGCTACAGCACCCGGTTCGAGTCCGTGGTCCAGCCCATATAGGTTGACTCATTAGCTATAGTACCCGGTTCGAGTCCGTGGTCCAGCTTGCACGTGGTGTATTCCCAATTCCTCACTAAAGCTTCAGTTTAGTCTTGATTACTCTCATCTGTAGGTTGAGGTTTTGGAGGTTGGAGAGATTCTGACTAAAGTCCGGGACGTAATGAAATCCTGGAATATGATTGGGAATGGTTCAGTTAAAAGTCCGGAATTTGGTAATATTGTGATAGACCTTCTAGCTCCATTATTTTACTTCAACTGCCGGTCCATCTGCCGGGCTTATGGGGGTCCGTGCAGGTGGTTTCTTTTATTGTGCACGAGCGTACCCGTCGGGTTTATGGGAGCCCGGCGGAGTTAGTTAGATTGCTTGTCTTTGTTGCCTGTACGCTCGTGTACATACCCCCATTTCTACTCTTTGCACTTGATGTGACCCTTTATTTACATTTCAGTTTACTTTTGCTTATCTTGCTCAGTCGGCCGATGATGCCTACTGGGTACCTGTTGTTTTGGTACTCATGCTACGCTCTGCATCTATTTCGTGATGCAGGTCCGAGCACTAGTAGCCAGCGTTGATCGAGCTTGGAGTAGACTTATCCGGAGACGGGGGTGAGCACACGGCGTTTTATACTATTTCAGTCTCCATCTGTATATATAGACTTGTCTTCTTCCTTTCGAGACAGTCCAGTCTCTGTTGTCCAGTTTTGGGACTTGTACTCATTTTGTAGTAGCTCTGTACTAGTGACTTCCAGGTTCTGGGAGGGATCTTTATTTGTATATATGTTTTTGGTTTGTGTCTGCCTGTTTATATTGTTATTTGCCTACTCTTGTTTAATTTCTACCCTCAGACCCATTACTTATTGTTCCGGGTTACGGGTTGGCTTACCTGCTGGTGGGTTATAGTAGGTGCCATCATGACTTGATAAATCGGGTCGTGACAAGAAATTTGTTGTATGTTTCAAATTTCATATCTTTTGCTAATGAGGAATTGATTAATTTCAGATCAGTGAATAGTAACCGCGCCAAAACTATGAAAGTAGAGGACGATAATGAGGAGTCGTCGAAGCAGCAGCTTCCAGATGAAATTATATATCAAATCATGACATTGTTACCGCTATCATCTTTGTTCAAATTCAAATGTGTTTGCAAGCTATGGAAAATGGAATACCTTATATTTGCAAGGGCAAAAGGAATAGGAATAGCAACAAACATGGAAGCAGAGGCGCTTGCTCTGCTAGAAGCAGTTTGGTACTGTCAACAGAAGGATCTAAAAGAGCCTATAATCGAAACTGATTCTTTAGTTCTCAAAAGAATGGTGGATAATCAATGGAAGATACCATTGGAATTGGTAGAAAGAATAGAGGAGATTAGAAGGGTGATATGAATATAAAAGCATCAATCACTCACATTTTCAAACAAGGGAACTGTGTGGCAGATTCATTGGTCAATGAAGTAGTGTAGTCTCAAGAAACTAAGTGTTATTATCTATTTCAGGAGCTACCAAGCATAACAAGGAAGCATCTAAACATGGATAAATCACAGATACCAAACATAAGGATGAAAACTCGCAAAATCAGCACACACTGATATAGTAGAGAAGGAACAACTACTAGATTTGAACTTTCCTTGATATTCTACCTTTTTTGAGATATTACCACTCGATTATGACAAATCAATTTTCAAACTTGAGCTTCTAAAAATGAGCATTAGTCATTAGGTTATGAGATTTTGGCTCTGCGGATTGGGATTTATCAAAATATCTACACTTGATGAGCCATTAAGGTACCACCTAACTTGCAGAGATAGGACAGGAATATGGGAAAAAGGAAGAAGAGAATTGACGTCGTGTTCAGAAAGGAGCTTGCTTATTGCCTTTGGTATATCGAAACAGGGGATTTTCGTGACGATGTTGATTTGGAAATTGATGTTTTGGATATGGTTAATGAGAAATACATTGGTCATACTACTTTTCCTGCTCGTTTCGTGTTCCCAAAGTTTAGCTTAAGACGCAATGACCTCTTTTGATTGGAAGGGTATGCTTGCATTCGATCAACAAGTAAATGATGTGCTTCATGTCTTGGTATTTGATAGATTACAGAGTTGAATGGCTTGAAAGCAAGCGGAATTCACATTTTATATACTGATTGTTTCATACTTTCTTTTGCATTTTTTATAATCGCTTCTTCACTCTTGTTTTGTTATCATAACTACAGTAAAAAAAAAAATATACAAAAAGTTTTTGATGCATATTGCTTCAATTAATTTTAGTTTCTAACCATGAATTTAGAGATTAGGAGGAAGTGAAATAAGATGACTTAGCCAACTAGCACTGGATTGTTCACCTGTAATCCATATCGATGAGTATTAAAAAATTAAAATCAGATAAATATTAGTAGTTGTTTGTAACAATGCGTTTGATTCTATATTAAAATTTCTCATAAGCTTTTTTCCAACCATTTTCTCTCATGCTCCCCTTCTTTCTTTTTTTCATTTTATATGAATAATAATAAAATAATATTAATGTTGGCTTTTCATGCTCTTCACATTTGATCCATGTCTTCCAATAATGACATAAGCTATTCTTTTTGCTAATCAAAGACTAGATTTTTGGACGGCAGTGGCACCAAGATCCCAAAAGTATATAACGGAGGGTATCTGCATACCATTTATAATAGTTTGGGGGTATTTTTTCCTTTTTCCCTTATATATATAGTTCTAGTACAATGTGATTTATAACATTTTTGTCTAGTCGCCCACAATTCATGAGCTTTGTTTAAAGTATATAAAAGAATCTAACTTGATAGAACCTTGTGCAGGTTAAAGATAAAAATTCATATGATTTCAGCATAAATAACTTTAAGCCCCGAGAGATATTAAAAAAAGTACATTATGAAATATATCAACACAATATATTGTGTTATATTATACAACAAAATATTACATGATCAACCATACATATGAAACTCAATGCAGTTTTATTCATACGATTTTTTTAGCAAGGTTTAGAGTAGCAAGACTATTACTATTATAGATATTGCCACTACGTACAATAGTTTTATAATATTACATGATGATTTGTTTTGAGGCAATTGGCTAATCGATCACTTATTCATGGCCTTCACCGGAAGGATTGTATCCATCACTAGGGGATTTATATTTGTAATGTGGAGGGTTATATTTGTCGCCGGGAGATTTGTATTTGTCACTAGGAGGTTTATATTTGTCACCTGGAGGTTTGTACTCATCACTAGGGGGTTTATATTTGTCATATGGGGGGTTATGTTTGTCACCTGGAGATTTGTATTCGTCACTAGGGGATTTATATTTGTCATGTGGAGGGTTATATTTGTCACCTGAAGGTTTGTATTCGTCACTAGGAGGTTTATATTTGTCATGTGGAAGGTTATATTTGTCACCTAAAGGTTTGTATTCGTCACTAGGATGATTATATTCGTCACTAGGATGTTTATATTTGTCATGTGGAGGGATATATTTGTCACCTGGAGGTTTGTATTCGTCACTAGGAGGTTTATATTCATCACTAGGAGATTTATATTTGTCATGTGGGAGGTTATATTTGTCGCCTGAAGATTTATATTCATCACTAGATGGTTTGTATTCATCACTAGGAGGTTTATATTTGTCATGTAGAGGGTTATATTTGTCACCTGAAGGTTTGTATTCGTCACTAGGAGGTTTATATTTGTCACTTGGAGGTTTGTATTCGTCACTAGGAGATTTATATTTGTCATGTGGAGGGTTATATTTGTCGCCGGGAGATTTGTATTCATTACTAGGGGGTTTATATTTGTCATGTGGAGAGTTATATTTGTCACCTGGAGGTTTGTATATGTCACTAGGAGGTTTATATTTGTCATGTGGAGGGTTATGTTTATCACCTGGAGGTTTGTATTCGTCACTAGGAGATTTATATTTGTCATGTGGGGGGTTATATTTGTCACCTGGAGGTTTGTATTCATCACTAGGGGGTTTATATTTGTCATGTGCATCTGGAGGTTTATACTCATCACTAGGGGATTCATATTTACCATTTTGGGGGTTATAATCACCACTTGGAGGGTTATATTCACCACACCGAGGTTTATATCCACTACCTTGGGAATTATATCCACCACGTGGAGGATAATATCCGCCACCAGAAAATTTATATCCATTGTTATATTCCTTATGGTCATCTTCGGGATATCCGTCAATATCATTATATCCATCATCGTGTACATCATCCGATTTCATTGCTACAAATATCAAATGTGAAATTTAAAAACTAGCATAACATTGAATAAATGTCAAATTATTAGATAAGAAGTCCAATATTTCAAATAGATAATTAATAAAAGGAAAAAAACAATAAACTTACAGGTCTCAGCCAACTCCCTAGCTACAACCTTAGAGCTAATTATTGCAAAAATAACCAAAAAAAGGCCAAGAAACAAAAATGCCTTGGAACCCATCATTTTTTTTCTTTTTGAAAACTTAGTTATCTTAATTAAAGGATGAAGAAATTGATACAACATTGGGTTATATTTATACTAAAAGAATTCAATGTACTAGAAATTGATAAACGGTCACTTATCACTTATCTTGCCCAACCACCACGCATCGATTATATTTCCTTTGTTTCAATTTATTTGTATTATATTTTTAGTTTGTTTTAAAAAAGAAGGTAGTATAGGACCACAATATTTATCTGCATTTGTGATGTACACTAAATAAAATAATTGTTTATAGTTAAAAAATAAATAAGCATATATTATCAAAATATTTTCTTGTGATAGGAAGTGAATCTCATACCAAAGATGAAATATTAAAAAAAAATTATAATTCGAATACTTCACAAAAATATCTAAGAGTAATAAATAACTAAAAAATATTATTGTATCTATCATAATGTAAATTTTGCACATTTTTTTACGTAATTTGTTTTTCTTAAACTTTTTTTTGGGGGGAGAATTTGAATAAACATAAACTACTGCTCTAATAACTAATAAAAGAGCTTCTTAAATCTTACTTAAACATAAACTGCTATAAGCCTATAACTATACAAAGAAATATTTGAAAACACGTTTTAAAATACGTAAATTTTAAAAGTTTTCCCAAGTAGGTTCTAATTGCTCAATCAATTTTTATTGCGTTAGTTTTCTACTTCATATATATGAAGTAATCATTTTTTTTGGTAGGTGATCGATAAGTACCTTCTATTTTTAATTATATGTTTTCTAGTTTGAAATATTTGAGAAAAAAATTACTTTTGATAGGGAACACTATAATCCTAAAGTAGACCATTTATGTTGGCTGTTAGTGAGGCTAAAGTAGAGTTGAGATGTCGAATTTTTCTGGAATCTAATATTTTTTATGTGAAACATAAATTTTATAAATAAAAAATTATTCAAATTGCAACAAATGATATATATATATATCTGAATTAATAACTTCAAAACTATTTAATAACCACCGCGCTGTACTGTTTATATATTATATAATTTCAGGTTTAATTTTTTTTGGATGTATTTATTTTACTTTGAACGGAACCCATATATATATACACACGTTGTTCTAATTGGTACAGATACTTTGATTTTTAATCTCTTAATTACTTTATGTGTTCGAATTTGGTTTCTCTTTTGATGAAAAGGGTAAAGGATTTTATTCTTCTCTCTATTGTTACTTTGAAAACAATATTGTAGACAGTGAAGTTTTATTGATAAATCCATACTAAATTTGGATTAAATCTTAAATTCATGATACGTTGACCAAGTCAAATTACTGGTTAATAAAGTCGGATTAATATTTATGTCAGAATTATATGACTTAAATCAAGTCCAAATAACATTTGGGTCAGTCCATTAAATTGACAAGATGTGCCCAACTCATGTTCTTCAGACCCAGGGGTCAAAATTGCTTGGACCAAAATACCCCTAAAGTCCTAGCTCAAGCCTATATAAAGAGGTCTTCATAAGACCAAAAGAAAGGCACACATACACACACAGAAATACATAGTTGCTCTTCATTGGTGATCTGCAAGTCTTCCGCATACAAAGAAGTCTTCGCTCCAAGTATTGAGCCGCAAGTATTCCGCCAAATCAAGAACATCTGTGGAGAGAAGAATCAGGGGATTACATATCTTTTTTTAAGAGATTTTATAAAGATTGTAACCTTCACATTTATTCAAATACAAATATTATTGTTTGCTTGCTATTTTTCTTTTCCTGTTTACTATATTTCAGGATTGAAACTTTAGATTGATGAATTCCACTTCCTATCCCTGAGCGTATGATTGATACCACTACTGGGTATGAGGCAATGTCTTTTATGGATGGTTCATCCGGCTACAATCAGATCCGCATGTCGCCAAAGGATGAAGAGTTGACCGCATTCCGCACTCCTAAGGGCATTTATTGTTACAAAGTAATGCCTTTCGGTTTGAAGAACGCAGGAGCAACATACCAAAGAGCTATGCAAAACATCTTTGATAGCATTCTTCACAAAAATGTTGAATGTTATGTTGATAATTTAGTAGTGAAATCAAGAAAAAAGTGTGATCACTTGCAAGACTTGAGGATGGTGTTTGATCTACTACGAAGGTATCAACTTAGAATAAATCCTTTGAAATGTGCGTTTGGAGTTACCTTTGGAAAATTCCTTGGCTTCATTGTACGACATCGAGGAATAGAAATTGATCAGGTAAAAGTAGATGCAATTCTGAAGATGGTAGAGCCAAGAAACATTTGTGAATTGAAGAGTCTGCAAGGGAAGCTAGCATATCTTAGGAGATTCATCTCGAATCTAGCAGGAAAGTGCCCACCATTCAGCCGCCTTATGAAAAAGGGCACTCTTTTCGAATGGGACCAAGCTTGTAGTAATGTCTTTGAGAGCATCAAGTCTTACTTGACAAAACCACCAGTTTTAGCAGCTCATGTTCCTGGAAAGCCATTGATACTTTACATATCAGCTCAAGAAAGATTAGTGGGAGCACTCTTAGCCCAAGAGAATGGCAAAGGGAAAGAAAATTCCCTTTACTACTTGAGTAGGATGATGACACCAAATAAGTTGAAGTACTTGCCAATCGAAAAGCTATGTTTGGCCTTAGTCTTCTCAATTCAGAAGATCAAACACTACTTTCAAGCTCACGTCGTCCGTCTTATTTCTAAAGCCAACCCCATCAAATTTGTGATGTCGAAAACTGTCCTCAATGATCGACTAGCAAGATGGTACCTCTAGTTTCAGCTATTTGAAATTGTGTATGTTCCTCAAAAGGCCGTAAAAGGGCAAGCATTAGCAAACTTCTTAGCAGACCACCCGATACCTGATGATTGGGAACTCACTGATGAATTACCTGATGAAGATACAATGGTTGTTGAAGTTCAACCGCCTTGAAAGATGTATTTTGATGGGGTCTCACATAGCGAAGGAGCTGGCGCTGGGGTAATATTTGTCACTTCTCGAGAGGAGATCTTACCGTATTCCTTCACCTTAACGCAATGTTGCTCCAATAATGTTGCAGAATATCAAGCCTTAATACTTGGGCTTGAAATGGCGATTGATATGAAGCAATTGCAATTACAAGTTTTTGGAGACTCTGAATTAGTGATCAATCAATTGTTGGGTAGCTATGAAGTCAAAAAGCCAGAATTGCGTCTCTATCATGACTATGCACAAAAATTGATTAGATGGCTCGGAGATGTAACTCTTCAACATGTTTCAAGAAAGGAGAATAAGAAAGCTGATGCTTTAGCCGCTTTGGCTTCAACTTTAACTCTGCCTGATCAAGCGCAAATCACTATCTGCCAAAAATGGATAGTACTACCGGATGTGGATGAAGAAAGCAAATTTGAACATCTTGTAGCTATCTCACAGGCTGAGATAGTCGATTGGAGACATGCTCTGATTGATTACTTGTGTTACAATATACTTCCAGAAGATCCAAAGAAAAGGACTGAAATTCGTCGTCGTGCTCCTAGGTTTCTTTAATACAAAGATACTCTATATCGAAGATCATTCGAGGGAGTCCTCTTGCGTTGTTTGGGGGAAGAAGAAGTGATTCAAGCTATGCAAGAAGCACATTCTGGAGTTTGTGGATCACATCAATCTGGGCCCAAGTTACACTTTCATATAAAAAGAATGGGGTATTATTGGCCAACAATGGTAAAAGATTGCTTGGATTATGCTCGAAGATGTCAAGCATGCCAATTTCATGCAAACTTTATGCACCAACCTCCTGATGTATTACATCCGACTGTTGCATCTTGGCCATTTGATGCTTGGGGGCTAGACGTGGTTGGACCACTACCTAAATCTTCTGGTGGTCACTTGTACTTCTTGGCTGCGACAGATTACTTCTCAAAATGGGCTGAGGTTGTAGCCCTCAAAGAAGTAAAGAAGGAAAATATTGCAAACTTCATCAGGGTGAACATCATCTATCGTTTTGGCATTCCTAGTTATATACTAACAGATAATGGAAAGCCATTCACCAATAAATTGATGGATAAGATCTGCGACCTTTTTGGCTTCAAGCAACGTAATTCATCAATGTATTATGCTGCTGTAAATGGACTAGCTAAAGCATTTAACAAGACCTTGTGCAACTTGTTAAAGAAGGTCGTCTCCAAATCTATAAGGGATTGGCATGATAGAATGGAAGAAGCTCTTTGGGCATACAGGACGACTCATCGCACGCCGACTCAAGCAACTCCCTATTTTCTTGTTGTTGGAACTGAAGCAGTCTTTCCACTTGAACGACAAATACCGTCATTGAGGCTTGCCATCCAAGAAGGACTTACTGAAGAATAAAATGCTTGTCTGCGCCTTGAAGAGTTAGACTCTCTCGATGAGAAAAGGTTGGAAGCTCAGCAAAGTCTTGAGTGCTATCAAGCTCGTCTTTCTCGTGCTTTCAATAAAAAGGTTCGCCTAAGGTATTTCCAAGTCGGTGATCAAATCCTTGCGGTAAGAAGACCAATTATCATATCTCATAAATCGAAAAGCAAGTTCACATCAAAATGGGATGGACCATATGTCATTCAAGAAGTCTATTCAAGCAGAGCTTACAAAATTGTGGATGCAGACGGCTTGCAGATTGGTCTCATCAATGGAAAATTCTTGAAGAAGTACTATCCTTGAAGCGGCGTCATACTCTTGGCCCGCAAGAGTAAAAACTGTGTACGGCTCCAAAAAAAAAAAATGTCTGCTAGGTTGAAAATCTTGAAAGAGGCTGCCTAGGCAAAAGTTAGGACACAAAAAAAAAATTCACTCTCTGAACTACGTATGACTTGATCCTCTTCACTGAGGTACGTAGGCAGCTTAGAGTAATATTACTCTAGGTTCAGTCATAAGAATTAGAAAAAAAAAACCATGTGAATATCATGCTAATTCTTTCAAATGAAGATTCAAGCACCCTGATTTTGAGCTGATTTTGAAGACAAATCTGTATTAATCCATAAATCTTATAGATGTGATTTTT